ATACATGGGCGTCTCACCCAAGATCCGTTGGTCCCATATCGACGGCAAAGAAAGTATCTGGCAGCGTAACCTCCTTGCCAGTTTGAGCATCGCCGGGCATGTCGATCATGCCAGGCCGAAAGGCCACCTTGATCTTGACATGAACTTCATTGCAGTCGGTTAGCAAGTATTTTGCTTTCCTGGCGTAAATACGAACAACACCGAGCAAGAGATGGCCCGACGTTCTGAGAGCGAGCTTCACTGGCTCCTCCAGGAGACTTTTCACCGTGTCTCCAATATCAGTCTCCACAATGTGGGCTTTGGTGAGCTTCTTCTCCCAGTGAGCAGCAAGCCAGATATGGGAGAACTTCCCCTTCTTGATGAGAAGGGGATCAGCAAAAAACATGATGGCGGCGTCCCAGCTTCAATAAAAACCAGTGTGGACGCAACTAGACCCTCCAGAAAGCTACAGTATCCTCCACACTAGGCCTCAGTACTTGGCATGGACACCTACAAGTGAAAAGGCACAGTAAAGCCAAGGCCTCTCCTTCGTCTCCCTCATGCAACCATCGAGTCCAAACACGTCCAAAGCTTTGCTAGATTACGCGCCATTCTCTGGTTCAAATCTTTTGTGTAGGGTTCACGAAGTGGACGTGGCCGTGGATCAACGGCAAATCCCACCAGCACGCTGGTCCGCTGGCATGGCACAGTGCGAAAGCGTTAACGGGTGACCCCAAGTCGGGTTTCGATAACATTCGGCCCGGCGGACAAAGATAAAATGAGATTTTATACGATTGATTGGAATTTATTGGAATTACGTGATAATAATGAACTATTACTTTCCAGTTCATCACATTCACACACACACATGCACAGCCGCACCAGACCAGGTCCTTCCAAATTTTCGCTCAAGAGGGCCTACATGTACAAGTAGGGAATCTTCAGGGTTATGTAAGCTCTCCTATCTCGCTTGGGCGAACATTTGGAAACCATGCATTTGAAGGATCTGGAGAGTTATTTCTTTCTTTCTTTTATAAATAATGTAGCCAAGGATTTGGTGCGGCTAGCTGTGCGAGGTGAAAGTAGATGAGCCAAGAGGATTACGCCATTCTCCTAATATAACCATTTTGAAAAAAGCAGTTAAAACAGTGCGTAGCCTAGCAACAAGCTACACCAGCCAATATGCAACCATGGTAACAATGTACATGTACACATTTCAAACCGGCATAAGTTCTATTGACGTTTACACATGTATTCGTACAGGCACTAGGCACAGAGAATCAAGGACTGAGCCTAGTTGGTTCTAAGTGAGCAGTTGAACTGACTTTATCTCAGTTTGTGTCACCGAGACGGCCCGGAATATCCCGACCGAAAATTGCTTTCTCAAAGTGTATCCATCCAGGGGTGAGGATTTACTGGTATACTACAACATAAGATTTACCAATAGCACCACAATTGGCCAAGAATGACCTGCAATCACCGAAGATAGCTAAGAGAGCAAGGCAGCCCACACACTTTTTCTAAACACACGCTAGGCTCCAACACGCCGATCACTCAATAGGGCTTTCAATAGGGCTGCATTAGGGGCACCGAGTAGCATTAGAAAATACAACCAAAGGTTAGTTGATAGTGAATTCAAAGTAATAAACAATGTATAGCAACAGCAGAGGAGAACAAAAGGGACGCAAGCCCTAACAGGAGAAAAAGGGGCAGATCAACAGGGGCGCCTGACAGTTGGGGAGTGAGAAGGCTAAAACACATTCATTTCAGCAAAACGAGCAAGGTGAGAGATAAAACGCACGGACACACCCAGACACACACACACACACACACCCAGGCACACACACGGACCCACATTCACAAAAGCATGGGTAGAATGAAACCCAGCCTTCAGGAGCACAGAAAAAACAACAACCCTGGATGCAATAATAAAACTGACCTATCAGAAAAGGCAGCCACGTGCTAAACAAGTAAAAAAGAAAAAAGACGAATAAAGGCAAGCCAAAATGAGCCAAGTATAAATTCTACGGTAATCAACCAGCGGGGAATAGACCCGGCCAGAAAGGCTTCTCCAAGCAAAGGCGACAGTTTACTATCGAGTGAAATCTAATTTGACAAATGGTGGGACTGGGAACGCCAAGTGTTGGCATCTGTGGGCGTAACCAGGTCCGTAACATAACTGTCCATCGGTACGGAAAGCTAGCAAATGGGCAGAAACCAGACAAGTCACGTGCACATACGGACAGGGAGACGCGGCCATGCACGTGCACCCACACGTGCACGCGCACACCGAATAACCATTCAATCTTTCTTCGTGCACTGCGCTTCCACTTACAGACGCGGAGCAGTGCGCACTGTCACGTGTCGTGAGTGTCAGTAATCATCAAGACAGACATTGTTACTGCCGCCGCCGCTGCTGCTGCTCCTGCGGCACCAACCGCGGACACGGTCAAGTCGTTGTAACGTACGAAAAGGCAATCAAGAAAGCGTCATCATCACTGACCGCCGTCCTCTTGGACGGCATCGGCTGGTGACGATGTCGTGGACATGAGCGTCTTGAGTTGTGACCGCGTGGCCTCCAGGAACAGGTCCATAGTGGCCAGGGTACGCTGGCGTGCAGCACTGTTGGCCCGCTCCACCTCCTCCATCTTGGCGCCGACGTGCTTCTGCGTCTGCTCGACGGCACGCTCGACGGCCGCCTCCGAGCGCTGGCGTTCCTCCACCAGCGATTCCTGAAGAGAGTCCTTGCCAGCGGTTAGCTGGGCGGTCACGGCTTCTGCCACGGCAGCCTTGCTCGCTTCACGTTCCTCTTCCATGGATGTGGCGTTCGATGCCTGCAACAAGACAATAATAAAATATTGCACGGGTCCTCGTACAGGGTGGGTCAAGAACTACATTTCCGCTTCCATGGGACGCCACCACCCCATCATCAGGCGTCAGATGTGGCGCCTAAATTTTGGGGAGGATAGATCAGAATCATCAGATTCACGAGCCAGAGGCTAACGGTCGAAATCCCATTGCCACATCCAAGCCAACAAGCCAATAAGGCAGCAAAAATGTGAACGGTTCGAAAAATGCATGCGACATGCACACAACACAGCCAGAACAAGAAACAATGCCCAACATTCCCACAAACAAATCTCAACGGCACACCGAGTTTCATTCAATTTTGTTCGTGCGTTAGCTACAGCTGGACGTGCTCATCCCGCATTGAAATAATTATAGAAGTTCCGAACTTCTAGAGGGATTCAAGTAAAGTACACCGCGGTAGAGTGTCACTGGCCATACGCAAGGGTCCCTGCTTAGAGCAGTGCTGGAGGAAGTCAATTGTTTTCCTTTAGACTCTTCACGTTACGACTCCGCCAACCGTAGTTGTTGTTGTTGTTGTTTGTTTATTTAGAGACGCATGCTCTTATGCGAGTAACGTGCGTCCTTTATTCACTGGTTGAGGGAATGGAAAAGGGAAAAAAATCTGAAGAAAAAAAAGACTGTCACCACCAGGACCCGAACCAGGGATCTTTGCTATATTTATCTTTTCGGCAAACATGGAAGAAGATTTTGCCAGAGGATTCGTGTGCTGAAGTGCATGTACTTCCTTCGGAATCGAGGACCTGAGAGTAGAAATCTACGTCATAATGAAGTAAAACCCAGCCATGCACATACGCTCGGTAGTTTGAGAGAGTTGCAAACGCACATATGCATGCACCATCACAGTACACAATCAAAGTACATATAGGGGCTATGATAGCCGGCATTATCGATAATTTTCACGAAACGAAAAAGTTAGTTAGGACCCTCCCCCCCCCCCCCCCCTTAACGAAAAATAGATTGACTTGACAGCAAGAATGCCTGGACGTCTCTCATATTAATATTTTTCAAAACGAAACTCCCCTTGACCTACCCACCCAAATACGAAACTGTCTCCCTTCATGTAAAAGATCGATAATTATGGACGGCCCCTTACGCAACACATATATACACAAGAATCATTACCACAACACCCACCCACACCCACACCATTACCACAACACCCACCCACACCCACACCATTACCACAACACCCACCCACACCCACACCATTACCACAACACCCACCCACACCCACGCCATTACCACAACACCCACCCACACCCACACCATTACCACAACACCCACCCACACCCACACCATTACCACAACACCCACCCACACTCACACCATTACCACAACACCCACCCCCACCCACACCATTACCACAACACCCACCCACACCCACACCCACACCATTACCACCCACCCACACCCACACCATTACCACAACACCCACCCACACCCACACAAATGCATCCAATATACACACGCACAACTGACCTTTAGTTCCTCCACCAGCTGCTCGGTCTTTTCCCGCTCCTCAGCAATCGCTTTTTCTACGGCTGCCACGCTAATGGCCTTCTCGGCCAGCACCGCCTCTTGCAAGGCTTTCTCACCACGTTCACGCTCCTCGGCTACTGCTTTCTGCAAGGCCTCTTCTTGCTCAGTCTTGGCACGCTGAAGGCTTTCGGTGATGCGAGTCTCGTTTTTGCTAACCTAGAGGGAGGGAGAGAGAGAGAGAGAGAGAGAGAGAGAGAGAGAGAGAGAGAGAGCAAATTGTGCACTCAGAAATAACAAAGAAGCCACAAGTTAACATACAAACAATGGACAAATGAATGGAATGCTGGCAGAATTTCAAAAATAATTATTCAAAAAGGGAGCAGAAAGTTAGAAACAGCACAAAACCTACCTCTTCAGCCAGCATATCCTGCAGTCGCTGGTGCTGCTGTTCCAGGCGTTGTTGTGCTTCGTCGCTAACCCGCTCCACGGCGATAGCTAGCTGCTTTTCGGCGTGTTCGCGCTCCTGAGCGACGGCTGCCTTGGCCAGGGACTGGTACTCTTCGACGATCGTGACCAGAGCGTCATGCCCGGCCTGACGCATTGCCTCCAGCTCCTCCTTGTGCTTGGTCTGTGTGTCCTCGTACAGCTGCTGCTGTGCCGCGGCCGCATTCTCCTGCTCGCCGATCTGGGCACGGAGCTCGTCCGCGCGCCGCGCAAGCTCCTCTTTCTCCTTTCGCAGACGCGCCTGTTCGCGGTCGGCAGCGCTAACTTTCTCCTTGAGCTGGGCAATCTCGATAGCAGTGCGTGGATCCGGCGCACCGCCCTGGTTACCAGGGGCAGGCGTGGCCGACATCACTGGTGGTTCTGCAGAGCTCGGTGCTCCCATGCTACCGGCAGCAGCGGAACCAGTCGTCGACGACGACGCAGGTGCAAACATGTCAAACGAATCGACTGGGGGTGCCTGCTGCAGCTGTGGCGTTTGGGCGGCAGAGGATGACGCTGAAGAGCTTGCGTCAAATGCTACAAAACCGGCGGGCTGTGCCGCCATTGCGACTGGTCCCCCAGCCGGTGCTGGAGCACCGGCAAAGTCGGCAAAGCCACCGAAATCATCTCCAGCAGCGGCTGCAACGGGAGCAGCAGCAGTAGCACCGCTCGCAGGCTGGCCAGCCTGGCCAGCGCCGGAAAAGTTGGAAAAGTCGCCAAACCCTGCCGTCGCCGAGCTGGCATTCGAGCTGACGCTAGCCTGGGATGCCACCACCTGTGGAGAGGCAGATCCTGGCGGTGCTACTCCACTCACCCCAGCTGGTGCGCCGTCAAAGCCACCGAAGAAGTTGCCATCACCGCCCGCACCAGCCGCGCTGGCTTGCGACGTGATGGCAGGTGCCGATGTGGCAAACGGGTCAGAGGGATCGGTCACTGGCTGTGCTCTCTGCCGCGGTGCCTGCTGTTGCTGCTGATGCTGCTGCTGTTGTGCTGGCTGCATCTGTGGTGAACCCTTGTGTGCCTGCTGCTGTTGTTGTTGCTGCTGTTGTTGTTGCTGCTGTTGTTGCTGAAGTTTCTGCTGCTGCATGAGTTGTTGTTGTTGTGCTTGCTGTTTCATATGCTCAATCTTGCGTTGCTGCAGCACACGCTGTTGTTCTGGTGTCAGGTTCTGCTGTTGTGCCTGTGCTGCCTGAGCTTGTTGCTGCTGCTGCTGCGGGTGCTGTGGTTGGCGAGTGGATGTTCGTCTCTGTGTTCCAGCAGTTCGACCTGGTGGGCCACCCAGCTTTGGCACGCCCGCGGCGGGCTGGCCAGGAGCAGCGGCAGGCCCTCCAGCTTGCGGTGCTGCTGAAAACGCAGCCCAATCACCGCCGCCTGGTGCAGCCTGCGGATTCGGAGCAGCGGCAAAGCCACCAAATTCGGCCCAATTATCGCCCCCACCACCACCACCACCACCACCACCTCCTGGCTTCTGCCCACCAGGACCCGCAGCTGAGAAGCTAGCCCAGTTGTCTGCCATGGCTCTAATCTGATTTCAATAAGGCCAAGCTAAGAGAGGTAGTTGCTGGATATCCACAAACTAGGTATCACTGCAAATGAGGAGGTTTCCTCTCTTTCTCTAGACTCTCTTCGAGTCTTTCCCTCTACAAACAACACGATTCAATTTTCAGACTTTTGTTATTGTGCATTTGAGGAGTTTTTGTATTTTTGTGGTGAGTCATGACCAAAACTGTGACGTTCGGTACGCGCTCGCGTACACATCCGCGGCGCCCCACACTCACACGCTACCCAGCAAAAAAGGCACCCGCCTGAGCGCCGCGACGGGCACTATTTTGACCGGTAGTACGCGGTCGCCAGACTCTGCGAGGACTTGCTGTGTACGCAGGGCCGTACAGGGATAGCCCAGATGGATTAGGCAGATGTGAGATGTCCACCGGGCCGCGGGCGCGGGAGCTGCTAGCCGGCCAGGCAGGACGGATCGCATGCCGCGGGCCCCGCGGGATCGAGCAAGGCACAAAACGTGCGAAATGCTCCTTTTTTTGAAAGTCTCAAAAAGTCGGCGGATTTTGTTTTGTCTGGTTTCTTCTTTGCCTTGCTTGAATTCATGAAATGAGAAAGTTACCACAGCTCTGTCATCTCCAAGAGTATTCGAACGAATCTCTATTCGCGGAGTTGCACTGTCCCGGAGCAAGCTTGAAGCGCTGTGGATTACAATAGGACGTTTGAGGCTGAATATCTGAGAAGAGCTCAATTGCTAATAGTTTGAGTGCAAAAATACACAATCACAATGAAGCTAATCAAGAGAGATATCAATACATCTGAGAAGGACCAAAGTGGGTAAGGTCTCTTGTATGTGTGTCTTGTACTGCACCATACAATATGACGTAGTATTTCTTGTAACCGCTCTGGTCGTAGGGTCCCAGATGTGGGCACCTGTGCTGGGAGAGATAACACGCATGATTGCATTGTACATTCAAAATAAGGTGCATATACGTGTACCTTTCATGATCAATGGTAACGAGATAGAGAAATTGAGACCGGGATATAGACACACAGCGAGCCAGCGCGCGCGAGACAGAGAGAGAGAGGGGGGGGGGGGGGGGAGAGAGAGAGAGAGAGACGGCCAGACAGACAGACATACACACACACACACACAGCCAGAGAGACAGACACACAGACAGAGAGGGAGAGAGATAGACAGAGAGGAGAGGAGAGGAGGGGAGGGGGGGGGGGGGGGTCTTAGACCTGCACAATAGGAACTGAAATTCATGCCCCCAATGATCTAGAGGTTGCGTCTGTACCCGAACGAATCAAGCAAAGCCGGATGTGCTGGTATCAGAGATTACGGAACACAGTTCTATTGTTGAAAGGCGGCGGCTGAAGACGCACTGATCGGTGTAGTAGAGTAGCGGCTGCGTGCGGCTTTGAGCAAGACGTGTCACCTCTCTCTCTTTTAGCCATGTACATTTTGATTTTGCTGTCGTGTGAAGAAGGATCGATAATCAACCGAGGAATGTGGAAGGCACGGATATGATGCGCGAATCGAACTGCAGTGTGATAGAGATATGCGTGCCGGCCATGGGTTGACTGTACGTCTTAGTTGGGTGCCAATGACGTCGAAAGAATTCTGCTGAGAGCTGAGTACTGTAGTATGTGTTGGGCGGGTTCTGGAGTAGGTACATGCCCCAGCCCGAAAAATGGGGTATTATTGATAGTACAGTCAACTTTGCGTATAACGACACTCGGCCGGGCATCGGAACAGTGTCCTTATTCACGAAGTGTCATTATACCCGAAGTGTCATTACATGTACAGGTAGAATGGACTTTGTTCTGGGCATAGAAATTCTGTCGTTGTTCGCGAATTGTCGTTATATCCGCAGTCGTTATTAGCGAAGTTGACTGTACTCCATTTTTGGGGTAAAACCGGGCGCCTTTTTTTGCGTAAAAATGATGTTTCGGGTGTTGGAGGGGGTATGCCCTAATTGATTCTGGAGTATGATGGATTATTGAAAAACACTGAATGAAAACTCATAGATTTGCATGATTTTGAACGCAAGTATTTTCAAATTTTTGGCTCACTTTTTTCGTTTTTTGCTCTTCCGCGACATGCAGTACGATGAGGAGTTATCAGACGCTCTGTTATTCACCAACGGTTCCACCCAGTCATCCATCATATTGTCAGTCGACGACCTCCTTCGCACCTCCATTGTGTCGCATGATGACTCGGGTAATTTCGAGATGAAGCCATCCTCGCTGATATCAATTGTGCTGACTTGCACACGAATCCGCGTGACTCTTGTGGCTACGGCACGGAGTTAAATGGCCTTGGTACTATGTCGTACACTCATGTTGTCCACCCGATCCACTTCATTGTGATTCACCTCCTTGATCAATTGCATGATGTCACTCGAATCCAAACATGACGCATCTGCGAAGATGTCGGCTATATCTTCGGAACATTTTTCATCACGCAATTCATCGAGCTTGTAGAAGGAGTGTCTCCCTTCGACCCATCTTCGGAGTATGATGCCAACATCTCCGTCGCTCATAGAAATTTTACATTCTCACAGCCGGAGAAAGATCCTGTTTGAGCGGCGCTCCAGTTTGGGTGGCCTTCCGCAAGTTTGCGTGGTCTTTTCTTGCTTTCCTACGTGTGGCATTAAGCTTGGCAAGGACTTGTTTGCCCTTTCCTTGGCGTTGGGTTTGTCTACGACCAGGGAATATTCCTCGCATGCCTTCAATGTGGATCTTCTCGAGCAGACTCACCCCTGTTCTGTGCATGCGCACGCGGTGATTCTCCATGTCTGAGCTGAAGAAGATATGAGGACTCTTTGATCAAGCGCCGCACGCCTATGCGTCTGAAGGTGTGCTTGACGCAAGCCCCAGGGAGAATAGTTACTTAACCACTGCATGTTGAGACGGTGCAGTGGTCGGTACGTGCCGTGTGGTACTGCTACGTGACAGTGTACTGGTGTCATCCTAGAAGTGCTATGTCCCCAGGATGCTCGGAATGACGCGGGGGAATCCCCTCCCCCCCCCCCCCCTACTTTTGCCTGCGTCTTGGTCCTGCGAGTACAAGGTTTGCGGGCTGGTCGGCAGGGCTTGCTCTCAATGTTGAAATGCGCGGCACGCATGCAGGCACAACGGAAGTCAGAGTTCTTGGTTCGCACGAGGGACTCGAAATGATGAGATTGAGAGCTGATGAGATGGAGAGCGTAGAAGACAGGTGACAAAGCAATGACTACAATTCGGCACGAACAACGATTAGGACAACGTTAGGAAGACAATTAGGACAAAGACATCACAAGAGAAACCAATGAGTGTTGTGGATATACACAGGCCCATGACGAGGGAATTCATAATGAGGACGAAGATTGGGTGGCGGCGAAGAGAAGTGACGATAAGGCACGGGACGTAGCATGGGTGGCAGCGAAAGGCGGTGGTGAGGAAGAACCTCGGCGTCGAAGTGGCGGTGTCGAGTTGGGCGGATAGGTCGTGGTTGTTGTTGTGGTCTGCGGCGGTTGTTCGCCTGGTGTTGCCGAGGTGGCTGAAAGCCGTGCAGAGTGAGGCGTTGGTAGATCGCCATGATCAACTCTTCCGCCGAGGGCGCCTGCGGCGCAGTCATGTCGACGTGGCGACGAGCGGCATCCAGGCGCGATGGCCAGATTGGACTGGGTGCCGGTGTCTCGGGCGCTTGCGGTAATTGCGGCGTCGATGACGATGGCGGTGACGGCGCTTGCCGGTCCCAGTCGGGGAAGCGCGGTGGAGACCCCCACGGTGAGGGGTTCCATGACGAAGTGCCCGTTCGAGATGGAGGAGGTGGCAGAGGACGAGCAGAAAGAGGACAAGAAGGAGGAGGAGAAGGCCGAGAACAGAGATGATAAGAAGGAGGAGGAGGTGGAGGAGAGCAAGGTGGAGGAGAGCAAGGTGGAGGAGAGCAGTGTGATTAGAGTGGTACTGAACTATAGAAAAAGAATTGCAATGCACGTATACCATAGTTTGGTACAAGCCTGCCTAAAAAACAAATGAAAAGCGAACTCCTGCTTGTAAAAGTAAGTTTTTCTCTTATTTCCTACTGTATAACCAGTCAGTATAACACGTATAGCAATTTAAATTGTCGGTAATTTCGGTAGAGAAACCTGGCACCTAAATTTAGACTACAGTCAACTTCGCTTATAACGACGTTCGGCGGGGCATCATAAAGATTATTATTATCAGAAAAGTGTCCTTATTCGCGAAGTGTCGTTATACCCGAAGTCTCACTATATGTGTTACAGTTGGATGGGACTTTGCTCTGGGCGTGACAATTCTATCGTTATTCGCGAATTGTCGTTATATCCGCAATCGTTATTAGCGAAGTTGACTGTGCACCTAAATGGCACTGAAGTATGCACGGCAGCAGGTGCAGGGAACGCTGGTCACCTAATTCTACTTCCAAGTACATTACACCTGGATCCCTGATACCGAAATTTTACTACACCTAAAATTACATATTTTAATATACAGTCGTCCCTCTCTAATCCGGCACTTTATAATCCAGCACCCTCGATAAACCAGCACAATTTTCAGTAGCCAAAATGTCCTCTTCATGTACATTGCAGCAGTAAATCAGATTTGTTAATCCAGCACCCTCCCTAATCCAGCAGATTTTCGTGGCACAAATGGTGCCGGATTATAGAGGGACCACTGTACAATAAATGTGAACGTATGTGTGTGGCTTTCGCAGGCCCCAAATATAGGGAAGGATTCATTATACACTCGCAAAATGTTGGGACTAACAGCTTGCCCTCATGATGCTTCAATCCTGAAAATTTGAACAAAATCAGATAGAAAGTGGTTTTTGAAGTCCGATATCTCAAACTGACAAGTCAGTGAGCTCTGCATAACGCAAACAGCAAAGGCACTACCCCACACGAGAGTGCTCAACTGCTACAAAAGCAGGAGCGAAATATAAGTAGTCACTTCAAAACAGCTGTGTGGTGGATACCAGGCTAAAAATAGTGGCGGTCAATTCATCAGCCTTGCAAGCTGTTGAATGGTGTAATCCCAGCACATGTTGCTATGTCTAACATAGCTGTTCGCTATCATCGCTTCCACGATAGGCATGTCTGACTGTGTGTGTGTGTGTGTGTGTGTGTGTGTGTGTGTGTGTGTGTGCGTGTGTGTGTGTGTGTGTGCGTGTGCGTGTGTGTGTGTGTGCATGTATGTGCATGTGTGTTCATGTGTATATAATGTTGCGTCAGTATCGTGGTGTTGATGCCGGACCAAGCCGAGGATATGTGGCATGCGTACAACATGATCGCCGAGGGAGACCGAGTGACGGCATCGACCATGCGGTAAGCCACACACGCAGCTGTATTTTCCATCTTTCACTGATGAGTTTATGGCTGCTGTTGTGTGCTGAGTAAAACCTGCCCTAACCGGATACCCTTGGTGCAGCGGAACCTGTCCCGATATGACAGGATTCCGCTCGATCCAGGCGTGCATGCATGTTCGATCCGCAGCACTTTGGTGCGTGAAAAATGTGTCTGGTCAATATAAGACTCTGCTTGGCACAGGGTCTGACAAACACAGGTGGTCCTGTACTAGTCTTTGTCATAGCTGATTGATGCATTTATGGCTGGCGACTGTTGTTGCTGATACCTATGCTTAGTATGATTGTGAAGCTTGAGCTACTGTGTGTGTGTGTGTGCGTGTGTGTGCGTGTGTGTGTGTGTGCGTGTGTGTATGTGCGTGCACGTGTGTGTGTGTGTGCGCGTTTGCGCTCTTGTTGCACAGGAAAGTGACGACGGAAAGCTCTACTGGCTCGAGTACCAGTCAGCGCGTGCACACGCGTGTCACAATCCTTGTGGAAACCATCGACTTTGACACCAGCGCTTGTGCTATGCGCCTCAAGGGCAAGAACATCTCTGAAAACAAGTATATCAAGGTAGGTCAGTGAGCCATGGTCGGATAGGACAAGTTTAGGCTCGCACTAGAAAAGATGAACTAGTCTAATTCTCATCTCTTCAGTCTTGTTGTATTCCTGCGTTCGGATTGCTCGTTTATGCAGCAAGCATGTTGGTGAAATACAGCTTGGAGAACAAGACTCTTTGTGTCTGTCTCTCTGTCTCTCTCTCTCTCTCTCTCTCTCTCTCTCTCTCTCTCTCTGTCTCTCTCTCTCTCTCTCTCTCTCTCTCTCTCTCTCTCTCTCTCTCTCTCTCTCTCTCTCTCTCTCTCTCTCTCTCTCTCCATCCCTCTCTCTGTCTGTCTCTCTGTGTTTTTGTTTTCAGATGGGTGCGTATCACACTGTCGACTTGGAGCTGAATCGTTCCTTCACCCTTCACAAGGAATGTTGGGATTTCGTTGCATTGGAGCGTCTAGGTGAGCCATCTGCCTATTGGACTAGGACTAAAGTTATACACTCAGACCTTGCATGGCCGCACGCATCCGTTTTCCACAAAAAAATTCCGGATAGGCGAGGCAACTGGATAATCGAACACACGACCAGACACGTACTGTATGTATGCATGGCATATGCTGTAAATCGGTAACGAACGATTTTCTTCCAGATGGTGAGGGATCCGGATAAACGAGGAATGGATAGTCGAAGTCTGGCTCTGTAGTGGTATTGTTCGGACAGTGCTGTGTCATTTTGCCAAGACAGACAGTGTAACACACCGTCGCTGTGTCATTTTGCCAAGACAGACAGTGTAACACACCGTCGCTGTGAAGGTTCTACAGCCATGAGTACACAGTCCATGTGTGCATAGTAATTGGTACACTGCTGGATATTCCTCACTCTAAAAAGTAGGCCTAGCCAAACAATTGAGCCCGAGACTTGAGCAATGCTGTCTGTGCTGAAATTCATCTGCGTGTGTGTGTGTGTGTGTGTGTGTGTGTGTGTGTGTGTGTGCACGCACGCCCGTACTCTTGTGTCCTGTACAGATTTAGCCTGTGATCCGGCAAAGTCTGCCGACATTGGTGCTATCATCATGCAGGAGGGTTAGTCACTGGTCTGTTTGTGTGCACACGCTTGTGTGTGTGTGTGTGTGTGTGTGTGCGCGCGCGCGTGCGTGTGTGTGGCGTGCGGGCAGTGTGTGTGTGTGTGTGTTTCATTCATCTCACCCTGTTAATCCTACACCTTGCTAAGTGCTACTGTAGCAGCATATAAGCCTATTAGAGAGTTTGAGCTTCACGGTTTTTTTTTCAAATTCGAACGTGAGAAAAAAACTTGCGTTAAATCCCATTTTTCACCGTGAGTTGGCCCTCTGTGTTATTGAAATCGCACGTTGCAATGTGAGGAGCGCCATTTTGGCCGTGCGATCTCACGTTCGAAATTGAAAAGAAGTGAAGCATAAACTCTCAATTGTTTTAAAACTTGCGCTGCTGGCAATGTGACCGCTATGTGCGGTATGGCCGTGGAGTCCTACCGCACACAACTGCACTTATGCATGCAATGTTTGATTTTCTCAGTCACTGGGAATCTACACCTTCTGTGCAGGCTTTCATTGAAGCTATTGTGGGTACGAGTGCAGGTGATGGATGTGCTCCTGTTGTTGCTACTGATGCTGCTTCAGTGGTTTATGATATGGCACAAAAGCTATATCGAATTCTGGTTCGTATCTGCCGTTCTGAGCGTATACTGTGCGTGCTTCCTCTGCTGCAGGTTTGGCACACATCTGCCTGGTGACATCCTGTATGACCACTGTTCGGTCGCGCCTGGAGATGGGTATACCGCGCAAGAGACGTGGCAACTGTACCCAGCATGATAAGGCGCTGGTGCGCTTCTATGACGCTGTCATGCAGGCCATGCTCAGGCATTTTGACTTCTCAGGTATGCAGACAGTAGGTTGCTGTTGTTAGAGTACCTCCCGCTGGTACTGTTGAGACAACATGCTGCTGATGCTAATGCTGCTGTTGATGCTGCTGCTGATGATGCTGGTGGTGATGCTGGTGGTGGTGGTGCTGCTGCTGTTTTTGCTGGTGTCATTGCTGTTTCTGTTGCTGATGCTGATGCTGCTGGTGGTGGTGGTGCTGCTGCTGATGCTGATGCTGATGCTGCTGGTGGTGGTGCTGCTGCTGGTGGTGCTGCTGCTGCTGCTGCTGCTGTCATTGCTGTTTCTGTTGCTGCTGATGCTGCTGGTGGTGGTGCTCCTGCTGCTGTCATTGCTGTTTCTTCTGCTGCTGGTGCTGCTGCTGCTTTTGGTTGATCACTGCTGCTTAGTACTACTTGACGCATGATCTATATAATAATATTCGCGGGATCCGCGTTAGCATCACTTGAATGTTCAGAAACACACAAGCTATAGCCTTCGCTTCCGCAGGCCACCACTATGCCTTTACACCTTAGTGGCGATCTATGCACAATAGAATTTAGGTGTCAGCGGATTGGTACGAAATGTCTCTTCAAACCGCCTGATAGTTTCGACAGTTGCCACATCGATGCCTGTCATCACAAGTTCACAACCCAAGCCACTGCAGGTGGTACGGGTGGCACGGGTGGTATGGATGGTACGGGTGGTATGGATGGTACCAAGAGTAGATAAACAAGAGTGTGCAACTGCCTGCACAACCTCTATGCTGTGCTGCGACGGCAGAACTTCACATCACGTGACATGGTTCAAAAGGTTATGCTGGCAAACAGTGCAAAGTGACCACAAGAGAGTTGTACCCAAAGCTGGGCTGCGTACAACCCAGTATCTATCATGCACTAGAGTGCACGGGTTCATCACGTGATGTGAAGTTCTGCCGTCGCAGACCCCATAGCTGGAGTTGCACACTCTTGTTTATCTACTCTTGATGGTACGGGTGGCACGGATGGTACGGGTGGTATGGGTGGCACGGGTGGTATGGATGGTACGGGTGGTATGGGTGGTACGGGTGGTACGGGTGGTATGGGTGGTACGGGTGGTATGGGTGGTGATTTCATTGAGCAGCACTGTGTGTTCATGACTGTTGCGTGTTTTTAACTCTGGTTGTTGTTGTTGTTGTTGTTTTCTTGTCTCGCTTTTAGTGATCAAATGTGTCGTCGTAGCAAGTCCTGGGTTTGTCAAGGTTAGTCTGACTTTGTGTGTGTGTGTGTGCGTGTGTGGGTGTGGGCGTGTGCGTGTGTCCATGCATGCGTGTGTGTGCGCATGTACGCGTGTAACGGCTTTGTGTGTCCTTCGCTATGTGTGTAGCTTGGAAGGGTCATTATGAGCTCCGAGTGGACTTTCCCAAGCGGGACCGTTTTCTCAGGCGACTGACTCTTCTCCGTTTTCTTTCTCTTTCAGTCTCTGAGTTCTCTCTTTCTCTTGTCCGTTGTGTTCCAGGATCAGTTCTTTGAGTACCTGTACACGGAAGCTGTGAAGACGGACAACAAGCTTCTTTTCGAGAACAAGGGAAAGTTCCTGCTGGCTCACTCTTCATCAGGACACAAGTATGCGTTGAAGGGTAAGTCAGGCTGAACTGTTTTGGTTCTCTGCTACTTGGTAGAGTTGAGCTAACTTTGAAACTACAGAGGAAGCAATAGAGGTGCATGAACGATTTCCCTGCGTTGAGGATATTGTGATAGCTCTATTTTCCTCTGTGTGTGTGTGTGTGTGTGTGTGTGTGTGTGTGTGTGTGTGTGTGTGTGTGTGTGTGTGTGCGCGCGTGTGAAGCTCAGAGAGTGCTGTCAGAGAGGAAGAGGAGAAACAGGCTGCGGAAACGCCAGTTTCGGAGGCGACAGGACCTGGAGCGCCATTTAAAGCACGCCTACCTCTCCCCTAACCTCTCTGACAGTACCTCCCTTTGGGGAGCGGCGTGGCCATTTCAGGCAGCTGTCAATAGTAGTAGTAGTAGTAGTAGTAGTAGTAGTAGTGTGTGTGTGTGTCTGTGTGTATATACCTGTGTGCATGCACATGTGTGTGTGTACGTGGGTCTGTCTGTGTGTCTGTGCCTATGCTATTGCAGAGGTACTGCAAGATCCTAGCGTCACAAGCAGACTAGCCGACACAAAGGTAGAGAAAATGCACTGGACATGTTTGCTTACACGCAAGTTCTTATCAATCTAGAGTCCTACATGTATTGGACTGTACAGTGTAGTGGCTAGCTTGCAGCTTACAGCATTCTGACACAAACTGACCTGAGCTGAACTCTGCAGATTACAAGAGATTTCCCCGAAAGCCTAGTTGCTGTGGACAGTGGTTTTGCGTCGATTACTGTCACTGCCTTGTGCGATGGGTGTGTAATGTTTATGTTTGTTCTCGTGTTGTGCAGGCTGCCGGTGAGGTGAAGGCTCTGGAAACGTTCTTTCAAACGTTACAGAACGAGCCAGACCGCGCTTACTATGGGTGAGTTCAAGGTGTGGTGTCTTCTGTTTCTCTGTCCGTCTCTCTCTCTCTCTCTCCCTCTCTCTCTCTCTCTCTCTCTCTCTCTCTCTCTCTCTCTCTCTCTCTCTCTCTCTCTATCTCTCTCTCTCTCTTTCTGTGTGTGTGTGTGTGTGTGTGTGTGTGTGTGTGTGTGTGTGTGTGTGTGTGTGTGTCTATCTTCTCCCCTCTCTTTTTCTCACACGCACCCACATGCACACACACCCACTCATGGAAAGTTGAGTTTACTGGCCTAACTTTCTTTTCTTTTTCTACTTCCATTTGCTTCAGTGTCAAGCATGTGGAGTTTGCGGCAGCTCGGCATGCAGTTGATGTTCTAATGGTGACTGATGAGCTGTTCCGGTATGTTATTCACGCACACACGCACACACACACACACACACACACACACACACACACACACACACACGCCACACCCAGACACACTGGTGGTGATTGCTTCTCGCTGTACCGTGGAACTTCAGTATTATCTTTCCTCGGAGGGGGGGGGGGGGGGGGCATAACTGAACTAAACACTGTGTGTTCCAGGTCACATGACTAGTGTAGTAATAAGTAGTACAGTGCAGGGTCATCAAGATTACCCGTACTACTGTCGTGGACATGGAAATCCGGTCGCACGTCTAGCGGCCCCACCGCCCTGGCCATGCAGCCGTGAATAAGCGGTACACACACATGCATTTTGTGATTTATGCCCTGCAGCGCGCTGGTCGCTTCGGATCAACATGTGCACTGCATGCAACGTTCTGTGCGCGCTGAGCTGAGGGCGCCAGCCCCGGTCAATCGACTGGATTTCCATGTCTATGACAGTATTTTGTAGGATCAGAACTAGCCTCTTTTACCGGCGATTAAACCATGGAAATAGACCAAAAGGCCTCAAGCAATGACAGAACCATTACGGGAGAAAAAAAAACACAACGGGATACTACATGTGGTATGGAGGTGCAAAGCTTGCCAAGAGGCTGGAGTCTTGGAGACATACATGTCCAACTGTTCATGTCTTTAGTTGTCCTGCAAGGAAACACGTGCCTCGGCTACTACTACAGACGCGGCGGGGTCCCTGGTGACACGGTGTGCGGATGAGGATCTTGCCCCACGAAGGCACATCACGTTAGCTCGGACTAATGCAAAGCTTAGCTTGCAACAAAGCCATGCCATCGTCACGGAGTACAGCTCCTTCAGCTTGTCAGATAGCATGCTGGCAAGACGCTTGAACAGGGCCCATGCACACTTGCTAGTGCCACCAGAGGCTGATAGCTCTACTGGTACGAACGTAGCGCGGTCAACCTCAAGCAGACGCTGCTCATACCTCCGGCGTTTCTCCTTCTCATGACGTGCATATACTGAGGAAACTGAGGCAGCGCGATTTGAGGCAGCATAGGGATTGAAAACCCTTATATCAAGAAAGGTGCGCTCAAACCGGCCACCCCAGATTCCATTGGCAGCACCATCAAGATGAGCTTTTTTAATTTAATTTTTTTTACAAGATAACCACAAACCATCATGGTGCAAACGCCGGCGAAAACGCACAGAGATGCACATAACTTGATCAGCGGTTGTTGATAGAAGCCGGAATTTCTCTCCAGTGACTGGTTGCAGCATCGGTTCTGTGCACACTCCGTGCATGACCTGTGCGCAGAACATCAGCCGTGAGGTCCCGGATCTCGTTGTGGCGAATACTGGGGAAGCCCCCAGTACTGCAGGACAGGGCATGGGTGACGTCAAAGTTACCATGGCCACATACGCATCCTGATGGTAGACGTGCTGGTGTCCGCCCGTACCGGAGACAGAGGGCATCGCGAAACTCCACATTGGACAAACAAAATCCATGGATGGCTAGAGGGCGACACGTCAGCCAGCTAGAGGCCGCCTTCTCCGATGCGAGGGTCAACTGCAGCTCAAGCTCTGCTCCAGCACCATCCTTGAACGATTTCACGGCTGCCAGGAGGTCGGATCGCAAAGTCGTGCGTACCTCTGCCTTCATCCGATGAACTTGCTCAGCGGTGCCGTCTAGGGAGGAATCTCGAGCGATTAGTTCTCCCGCGTAGTACTTTGTAGCCGACTCGTGTTTGTTATACCAAGGATACTTTAGGCCTGAAATTGTACTAGACGCTCCGTGCGGTGTGTTCATACACGGTGGTGATGCTGCTTCATGTGTGTGTGTGTGTGTGTGTGTGTGTGTGTGTGTGTGTGTGTGTTGGGGGAGTGTTTGTGTGTTTGTGCGCGTGCACGCCTACGGGCGTTCGTACGCATAGGCTTTGTTCACAGCGGATCAGGTAGCAACAATGTGAAGACTTAGTCATAAGGGACCTTTCGCATTTGCTACGAATCAAATGCGAAACGAAATTTTGATTCGGCTCGTAATCGTTTCGTTGAACACAGATTCAGGTTTTGCAAGTCATGCGAATGTGCATGGTAACTACAAATACGGCCGGTAGCTTGGCGTACAGGTGTTAAAACGCACACGTGCATGGATCGTGGAATCAAGGGAAAAACGTGTACCTGACGGATTCGGAGCGTGCCACGAATGAAGAGGCTTCCATTTGTGAAAACGAGCTCTCTGCAGGGACTCTGACGAATCCTCGAACCCAGGTGACGAGTCAGCATTCGTTTAGTACTCCTGCTGGTTCTGAATGGTTTCTGCTGGCGATAAATTGTTTACTGTAAAACACGATATTTTCGGTGTAACTTTAATTTCGGTGATTTCGGTAGAGAAACCAGGCACCTAAATTTAAATTACACCTAAAAGGCACTAGAGTATGCACTGTATGTGAAGGGAACGCTGGTCACCTAATTCTACATTACACCTGAAACCTGGCAGGACACTGACATTTTAATGCACCTTTATCACTCTCTTATTATTGACCCCCACAGAAACTTGTGATCTCTAAGCAGTCAAATATCAGCATATATTGACCGCTTATATTGACCGCTTATTATTGACCACTTAGCCCGAGGACTTAGAACTTTTTCCTCAACTTAGAAAAAAAATCAGAACTGAAAGAAGAAAAATCTGAAGCCAAATGTTGGGATTTGAACCCAAACTGTCAGATTCTCAGTCAAAGAACTTCGGGAACATACTACAAGTGACAACTGAAAACTTCTGTTTATAGAGAAGTCATGTCCAATGTAAACGGCATATGTACATACTATGTACTATTATAATAGTATTCCTTTCTTCCTATAAACACAGCTAAAAACAGTTTAGGTATGCTATGTCGTGATAAATCTATTATTGCCCTCATAATCGGTCAATATATGAAATATAGACCTCGTAAAAGACCTCGGGGGACCTCGGTCTTTTACTCGTTCTATATTTCATATATTGACCTCTTTAATCGTGCAATAATAGATACATACATGTAATTACATGTTTTGCAGCATGTTAAAAGCAAGGTTAAAGAAAAGGCGGTTGTCAACTGACAACCGCTCTATGCAGTATCTATTCCTTATTGCCGTATGCGCTGAATGAAAAATTAATTTTAGTGTGATGTCGAAAAAACCCAGGGTGTTGTTTGTGCTGCTTCTCGTCTTCTCATAGCTCCAACAACATTGCGACGAGAAAGCGCTACATCAATCTCATCGAGACGGTCCGCGAAACTGGTGCAGATGTCAGGTGAGGAGAGAAGTGCGGCGTGAGTGTGTCAGCGAATGTGTGTATGTGTGTGTGTGTATATGTGTGTGTGTGTGTGTACGTGTGTGCAGGAAGATTCACACCTGCATAGATTCACACCTACATGTAACACATAGGGCCTACCCACCGCACACTCTACTTCGCTATGGGCTGAGTGGACACAGAAGTCGTTATTTGTTGTTAGATGTTGACTTCCGAGGTCATCGCTTTCGAGCGCTATTGCTATGCCTGGTGATTTGGCGCTGCTGCTGCTGATTTTGTTGTTGTTGTTGTTGTTGTTGTTGTTGTTGTTGTTGTTGTTGTTGTTGTTGTTGTTGTTGTTGTTGTTGTTGTTGTTGTTGTTGTTGTTGTTGTTGTTGTTGTTGTTGTTGTTGTTTGAATTCTTTATTCTCACGATGGCACCATCGCCAATAAGAGATGTTGTTGTTGTTGTTGTTGTTGTTGTTGTTGTTGTTGTTGTTGTTGTTGTTGTTTGTTTGTTTGTTTGTTTGTTCTGATTCTTTTGTTGGTGCTACGCAGGATATTCTCCAGCCTGCATGTCTCCGGGGAGCGTAAGTTGATGTTGTAAATCTGTATCACGCCTGTCATGATTGTCTGAAGATATTGTCTGTGTTGTAGTTGACTTCACTCTTTAGTGCTATCAAGAGTACATAACCCCGGGGTTATGTACTCTTGGTGCTATTGACTGGCTTTTCACACAATACCTATTGATGTCTAGAGACATACTGTCTAGCCTTCCCCCCAGTGCTCTTATTGATACACTATCCAGCTATCCGGCAGCTCTCTATTCAGTTTAGGGAGCTATTCACAGTCAGTAGCAATGGTGTTTGTGGTATTTCCTCTTGTTGTCTTGTCGTGTTGCCGTGTTGTGCTGTGCTTGTCATCGGAATCACTCCTGTTTGGTTCTGCTTGTTCTTTCTGCTCGACAGAGCTTGGTCAGCTGACGGGCGTAGCAGCCATCCTCCGATTCCCCATGCCGGAAATTGAAGACGAAGACGACGAGGACACCGAAGAGGATGAGGAGGAGTCCGACGGTGAGGGAGGAAATGGTCGCAATGATGTTGCCAGTGATGGCGACACGGCAAGTGGTGGTGACGACAGCGGGGCAGCAGCAGCAGCCTCGGCTAGTCCTGCGGTCGGTAATGGCCGACGGAAGACCAGTGCGGCCATGCCGATGTCTGGCGCGTCGTCTCGCTCTGCTACACCGTCATCGAATGCTATGTGATCAGCAGCACCGCGGTAGCGCATGCATGTTCTGCGCCGTACCACAAGTACGGTATTACGGTATTGGGTGACTGTGCGTGTCTTACCCGACGTCTCCGCTGCCAGACTGCATGTGTTACAGTAGTGGCTGCCATCTTTGGCAACAACGTCCGGACGAGTCGAGTCAACTCCGATGATGTCATAATTTACTGGCGACATCATGCATCTGAATGCATGACCTGATGACATTATGTATGCACATCTATCTGTCCGACCGGCTGCTCAGATTTGCGACACACAGTTGTGATGCCATCTGAGATTTCCGAATCCTCTACATTCCTCCAAGGATGCATCAAGAACATCCAGAACATTGTAGCGTTTTGGCTGAGGGAGATCTGCAGCCATTCTAGGAGCGTGACGCGCCACTGTGATATCCCGTCGTATCCATGCATCGGATGCTTCGTTTGTGCACCTCACGTCAATGCCAGTATTGTGTCGAGGTGGCAGCGGATTGTCAGTGTGACTGCATTAGCCATGTCGTGTTGTTGGTAGCACGACACCGCGGGTAGCCGCTAGCGGGGCTCACATGCTGCACGACGTGTGTCACACAGCACACGGCATGCTGCAGTCAGCTTTCAGAGTGTGTGTGTGTGTGTGTGTGTGTGTGTGTGTGTGTGTGTGTGTGTGTGTGTGCGTGTGTGCAGCTGAGCTTCGTTTGCGCCGGGCTTGGCATGGTTTTACCTGATCTGGTCCGGTTTAGGCGGGCCGGCCGGCGGATTTGAGGCCGTGCCTTGCGTCTCATCTTGCGCTGTCCTTTGACCATTCTCCTTTGTCCAACTGTGTAGTTGTTAGGGATGGTGATGGTGATTAGTGTGCACACCGTCGGCCGTGTTGCACACTGCTGGCGGTGTGCAGAGAGCGCTGTGCTGCCATCGCTTTCCCCAGCCGCTGTTATGATCCCGTAGCACTGTGCTGTGTTGTCATCGCCCCCTAGCTTTGGAAAGTGACGACGTCAGCCCAATCACACTGCGGAGTATTTATGCCGTATTTCTGAAGCTACGCTACAGCCTCTCCAACGGTTTTAAATTATAATTTATACAATCGTACCTCGAAGTATGTACCTTCATGGCGTCTTCCCCTCAGCTCCCTTTCAATCAAGGAGTAGGTATTTTACAACTCCCTGCTTTCAATCATAGCCGAATTAGTAGTCATTGGTTCCAAGCTGTAATAGCAATCAGTGGATTCTATTACCCCAGCTCTCGCTCTGTTATCCCTCTTAACCATCCGCTGTAGCGGTAGCGCGCTGTTCAGCTTTTTTTAAATTATATTTACCGTCTAGTCTACCTTTTGGATAGACAGGTACTCATATGTGTTCTGTGACTGCTGGGCCCGGTTGGTGCTTGTCGTGTGCCTGGGCCTGGTCAATCGCACTGTGTCCCTGTGTTCAAAGCCTGGGCCTGGTCAATCGCACTGTGTCCCTGTGTTCAAAGCCTGGGCCTGGTCAATCGCACTGTGTCCCTGTGTTCAAAGCCTGGGCCTGGTCAATCGCACTGTGTCCCTGTGTTCAAAGCCTGAGCCTGGTCAATCGCACTTTGTCCCTGTGTTCAAAGCCTGGGCCTGGTCAATCGCACTGTGTCCCTGTGTCCAAAGGACGATGCTCAGGAGTCCTAACATTATGACTGTTTGTTTTTGTTATAGCACTCCATATTTATAATTCAGATGGTGACGTTGGTGATCCAAGGAAAAAATTGTAACATGGAGAATGTGAAAGGCCTCTCTGTGTGTTGTGTGTTGTAAAGACTGCCAGTGTGTGGTAACGGTCTGTGCAACAGAGATCTTTTCTTTTGTACGTTACGGATTTTCTAGCTGGTACGACGTGACTCGAATGTCATCGTTTGGAGAATCAAGCTAGCTCCTGTTTGATGTCAGTATGCGAGTCAGAGTTTTTTAACTGAAATTAAAGTTATCCTTGACTGGCAATGCGTTCTGCAGCAGAACAATACACTCTCAAAGCCTGGGCCTGGTCAACACTTTTTCATGTTCTCTTGCTGTCAGTCATGCTCATTATACCAGTCCAGTGCATTTCATACTCATACATGCACTACATGTAGGCAGGCATAGCATTATTGTAGCTAACACTGGCTAATGACTATGTAGGTGTAGGTGTGCAAAATAATTATGTATACGTAGATCTACGTGTCGGCCCACGTGTGTACGTGTGTGTACTCGATCGTACCCGTGTGATCGTACTCGTCTAGCTCGCGGTGCCGCGGTCACATTATTATTCACAATAAATTTTATAAAACAATGCGCCAAAAATAAAAAAAAATAATTCAGAGTGTCACGTGCCACGTGTTCAATCAAAGCTCTCATTTTTCGAATCGAGCATTGACGAGAAATCATCGACCCTCTTGTCTGTGTCAGTCTTGACTCTATAAATTTTGCTCGGTCTATCTCACTGAAAATGTCACGTCCCTAGTGGTGCAGTTCGTTTGAAGTTCTCACCCGGTCAAGCCCTCTGCCTTCAAGTATTTGCAACACATACAAAACGTATAGAGTGCTAGGCCGGAGCTCATTGTGGCTAAAAGATTTCATTTCATTTTTTACATGCCAGATCCAGATTCAGCTCAGGCGAATAGTGAAAGATCGGTCATTTAGAGACCGGCTTGCACACGGCATGATCCAGTTAGTTTAGCTGGTGGCAAAGGACGTCTGCAGTCGATCCTGTTGTACTGGGCTGTCTGTGAGAGGATGGTGTTTAGGGCGTGCAGCCTGCTATTGTCTGTGGTGGAGACGTAATGTACCTGAGAGCATGCATTTCATGGAGTGAAAACTGCATGTAGCTGTGCTCTCTGTGGATAAGATCAGACCAGTAGTGCTGTTGCTGCTGTTGTCAAGGCAACTGTAGAAGCTATCGTACGTGTGTGCATACGTACAGCAAACATGACGTCAGCAATGATGTCATGCGTACGGGCCGGCGTGGCGTTCGGCCGCAGTGACGTCATGCACCGGACCTGGCAACGGTTGCCGAGGACCCTGGTCGTGCAGCAGCGGCAGCAGTGGCGTTACTATGCCATTGGCGATCTGGTGGTGCCGGATGTTCGCCGTGATGTGCGTGCCGTGATCTTCGTAGCCCAGAACGTGTTGATTCGCCTGGACCGGAACACTGTACGTCAGGTGGAGGGACAGCAGAACGTACCGCGCGGTGCCACGGTGCGCGCTATGATTGCCGACGGCGATAATACGGCGAGCTCGCGCTGGAAGCGCGGCGAGCTCCACGGCGAGGACCCGGCGTTTCTGAAGCAGTTACGTGCCGATATGCGCCGCCACGGTCCCGTATACAAAGAGTTTGACGTTCGGGCAATCATGAAGGCCAACATTCAAAGCTGGATTTCGCAGATGCCCGACCCGGTTGTAGACTCGCTCGTCTGCATGAGGGCGGAGGGCATTCGCCTGGCGTTGATCACTGACATGGGCTATCTCAATGCAAACAAAGATACGCACATGCCACAACCTAGCTCGCTGT